AGAGAGAGAGAGAGAGAGAGAGAGAGAGAGAGAGAGAGAGAGAGAGAGATCCAAGGCACGAAGCTAGGAACCAAAACATATCGGCGGGCGCGAGACAATACTAATGTAACAATAAAACATTTTTATTTATTAATTTTTTTAAATCTAACTTTTTCCAATATATTTGTAAGATTTTTATGATTACAATGAGACCAAACACGATATACATACAGCGAAACAGGAAAGTATTCGGCTAGTTTGTATTTTATATTTCATATTACCTCTTATATCAAAATTTTTTTTTTTTATAAATTATACAAGATGTTCGGCAACCGAACAAAGTATAAAATAAGAATAAAAAAAATACACAGCATCTTGGGATCGAACAAGCGATATCTTATGTACGATACTACGATCAGTGATACCAGCCAGGCCAAGTTTTTTCGCCCATGTACTGCCAGAATGACCGTCAACAGTGTCGTATCCAGGGTAACAGGTGTGGGGTGCTATGGCTATTGTGGCTATAAGCGCGAAATCATGAATATATTTGTCTTTATTATGTATATATTGTCTATACTTATATATTGTCTTTATATATTGTCCTGCATTTGTCCATAAATCATGAATATATTTGTAAAATTATGCAGGAGTAATTAAGATACACCTTTTTAGTCGTGCGTATACTTCATTGATGCTATGTTCGCTGCGCGTGCGCGAAAAAACCCGGCCCGACTAGGATACCTGCGAACCAAGTCGAAAAGCGTGTTTAGATGGTCGACACGGTAACAAAAAGGAAGACGACGACAGCGCTGCGGTGGAAAGCACGATATTGAGGTAGCCATGTTGGCATATGAATCGTCTCAATCGTAGCGACACCACCATTATAATTTTATGAGGCGAAGAAGCAACCTTTTTGGATGATTTTTTTTTTTAAACTGTTCCTTGTAAAATGCTGTTGCGGGGGATACGTTCAGATTTTTGGAAGAAGATCCACAAAAAATGTATTGTCTTTAAACGTATTTTTAGCACGTTTCAAAAGCGAATTGCAAAATCTGTATGTGTTCCCCGCAATGGTATTTTATAAGGAACAGTTTAAAAAAAAATCAGCCGGAAAGGTCGCTTCCTCGCCTCATAAAATTACAATAACTGTTTGGAAAATTGCAAACGTTTGACATCATTCTGTCTTTGTCTCTCTTCCGATTGATTTATCTCCCTCTCTGTCACAACATCATTGGACGGACAAGGATCTATCTATCCTTGTCCCAGAGCTTCCTACTTTCTCCGCAACTGTCGCTGAAGTTAACTCGGAGTTTTGCTGGGTCTTCTGCGCACCCAGGGTTTTACTGGCGTTCACGCCGCGCGTGACAAGATTATTAGAACTGCGTGCGACATAGTCAGGAATAAGTTAATTTAAGATAAATTAAGAAATGTGATATTAACTTTATTATAACTGTTTGAATATAACTAATTTAACACAAACATTGAATTTCTTTACTTTAAATACAAACTTTTACAATAGACGTTTATACTGGTTAACGGTCGCTATGCGAGTGAGTATTAAAAAATTATTTTAAATAAAATGCAATAAAAAAAAAAACAAATACAAAACAAATCGTAATTAGCGCTAAAGTAACTTCAAACAGAACTGCCAAACGCAGAGGCTCATTCACATTCCATAACAACCAGCAAACGGGTCTCCGCTCTGCCATTTAGGAGTGACATAGGAATTAATTTATCTCTATCAAAAGTAGCGGTACGCAAAACCTCCACCCTTATACAAAAAAATTATTTCCTTTGGAAATAACTTTTTTCAATTTAGAGCTCTCATTCACATTCTTCTCCACGCATACAAATTATGTAGAGAAATTATTAATATGACGAATCTTACATTTAACAATCTAAATTAGAGTGAACAAAAATTTCAAAAGTCCGTCAGGGGTTGTCAGCCACAGCCCGAAATCTCCTCCTTCTAGGCCTTCTACCATGATTCCAAGAGCTACTCGATTCACCTTTGATCCTACGGCAGTTAGAGGCGAAACGAGGCATGGATAACCAAAACCCCTAGCACGCAGGAGACCCAGCAAAACTCCGAGTTGACTTCAGCGACAGTTGCGGAAAAAGTAGGAAGCTCTGGGACATTAATAGATAGATCCTTGTCTCTCCAATGATGCTGTGACAGAGAGGGAGATACAACAATCGGAGGAGAGACAAAGACAGAATGATATCAAACGTTTGCAATTTTCCAAACAGTTATTGTAATTTTATAAGGCAAGGAAGTGACCTTTCCGGCTGATTTTTTTTTTAACTGTTCCTTATAAAATTCCGCTGCGGGGGATAGTTGCACATTTTGCAATTCGCTTTTGAAACATGAAAAAAATATGTCCAAAGGCAAGAAATTTGTTTTTTTTTTCAATTTTTTCCAAAAAACACTTGACGAGACGATAGATTTACTTCCCCTGATTACGAAATGCATAATTACTATATGTTGTTTTCATTATTGTGCCTGAAAAACGGGAAAGACTATCTAGTAGTTCACCTACTTTCCGTTGGTGGCGCCAGTTTGTCTCCTGCGCACCCGTTCTTTTAAGTTGAAGTTCTGTATAGTCAACTTCATGTTCATGTGGCACTATACAAGATCGACTTCAATCGACTTGTAAAGTGGTACAGTTGGGTACGTTGGTACCGAGGATCGAAGCAAGATGTTGTCAAGATTAGCTTTTCGTAATGGTAAATTAGAATTATAAGTGAAATTAATATCGATTACTTTATCTAAAAAAAGTTATGTATTTGCAAAAATAGATTACAAAATGTTGTAACTGTCATTGTCAAGAACATGTCGGTTATTTTACTGCATTATGTAATAATAAAGTGTTCTTGTACTTCTTTGGATATTTTGCTTAAGTAATATTAATGCGCCAATTTTGTTATTGAAATTTTTGTGTATACATCATATTTAATTTAAGTAAGGTGAAACATTTAGATATGAATACATAAATATATGATAATTGATTTTGGATTATGGTTAATTATATTTATTGATTTATATATTAGACTCACTAACAGACTTAAATCTTTTTAGATTTCATAAAATACTTTTTGATTTAGTAACTTTGTTTCAAAGCTCAAGCAGTGTCCACAGCTGTTCGTGGAATACAAACTACAGTACCAGCATTATCTGATGTACCTCGTCCAAAACGCCCCATATATCCTGCCCCAGTTAGGCATGGATTTATTCCAGAAGAGTGGTTTACATTCTTCTATCCTAAGACTGGTGTATCAGGTATGTCGATAATTTCTAAAATTATGTTTGATTTTCTATGTTTAAAAACATTAATAACATATACCAGTCATAGAAAACTTGAGAATAGTTCGATGTTATAATAATGAAATCATGTCTTTATTGATAATATTTATTTGCTTTTTGTGTCTAGGTCCATATATATTCACAGCTACTCTGGGAACATATTTATTATCAAAAGAAATCTATGTATTGGAACATGAATTCTACAATGGAATTTCTATGCTCATCATTTGTCTTTATGTAATAAAAAGATTTGGTCCCAATATTGCCAAATTCTTAGATAAAAAGGTTGATGAATATGAAGAAATGTTAAATGTTGGAAGAAACAATGAAATTGAGGCGTGCGAACAAACTATTAAGAACTGGGAATTAGAAAAGTGGCGCACTGATGGACAGAAAATGATTTATGATATTAGAAAACAAAATATTTTAATGCAGTTAGAAGCTACTTACAGAGAGCGAATGGTAGAAGTTTACACTGAGGTAAATATGGTTTTAAGAAATGTTACAATTTTAGAAATAATTGTTATAAATTCATTTATACTGTTTGTAGGTTAAGAAACGCTTGGATTTCAATTCCCAAATAGATACTGTAGAACGCAGAATTGCTCAGAAACATATGGTACAATGGGTTGTAAATAACGTACTAAAAGCAATTACACCAGAACAAGAAAAAGCTACTCTACAACAATGTATTAAAGATCTTGAAGCTCTTAAAGCATAAAGTGTTACTACAGGACTAGATGATATAGGAGTACTATTATTAAATCTGGACTAGTTCATTGTAAAGATTACTGAGAATACTGTATAAACTGCAGTGTACTCAACATTAAAGATCTTTCATAATTAAGCTATTGTTTACCAATACATTGTACATTATACAATTATAACATTTCATGATAAATAAATGTCATTAAAAGGTAACAGTAAATAATGTGTTAAAACCATCTAAATTTTATTAAATATAAATAAATAAATATAATATAATTGTACTTTATTGTTTGTTTATAATGGCTTTAGATACCTAGAAATACTAATAAGACATTATGTTCACACTAATTACTTGTAGAATTTGATTTGGAAACAAATTATTAATTTCATATGTTCACTATATAGTCATATGACCATATTATATGCTTCATTTTCACAACTTAAAATTTAAATTTTCCCAATAAAGTTTGCGTTTTTTTATTTTTTTCTAATATTTTGATTTAAATGATTAAATTTAAATTTTTGATAAAATGATACATTTCTTTATAAGAGGAAAGAAATAGAAAAATGCCTCTAACGAGTATAGATTTCAATAATTTTTTGTAAGGATAATTAATAAAGAAATTTTCCTGTTTTATTTCTCGTATTGTCCTTTAATTATACTACTTATAAATAAAATTATTTTTGTGGGATTAGTATCATTTCACTGATAATCACATTACATTTTTTTACTTGCATGTTGCATTATTACTAATGTTTGCTAGAATATAACTTGTTTATATTTGTTGCTATTGTAAATATATAACCAAATACATAACAATCGTAAATTGTTAAAGTATAGTTGTAATAATACTATATAGATAAAGCAATTTTTACTGACAGCTAAGTTTCATGAATAATGGGAAATTTGATTTACTTTACTAAATATTACTAAAGTTACAGTAATATTTCTGTATATATCAAAATATTGGTGTACGATTTTTAATCATTTAGGACGATTTTCATGTTTTATATAAAAAAGTCAGTAGAATTTGTACATAATTTCAAACAGTTTCAAATCTACGATTGTCATAAATGGTAGACTGTGTTGTATATGTGTACAAATAAAAAGCTAAATTAGGAACAATAATGGCAATTTTTTAAAGCTTTATTATATTCTTTATAATCATATGCTACGTAAATACGTATTCTCATGTTTGTTTAATAAAACTCGGTAATTTATTACTGGCATTCAATATTATATTTATTGTTATAAGCTTAAATTAAAAATGATTATTGCAATAATCGAATACGACAATAGTTAGTTAGTTAGTTAGTTATAGTTTATTCTCTTTGCGGAGTATCGAATATGACAATATTAGACGTTATCGAATTGCAACAATTGAGCATTTTCGTAAATAATAGTTACACGTATTAATTTTTATTTTAGGTTAAGTTACTGCAACTGAAGACACATGAATTTTGTCATTTGTTAAACGTCATCAAATTTGTAACAAGTCTCTGGCTTAGTCTTTCGTGAAAATGGCCTGGTTATCAGGTCTCGCAGACAAGGCAGAGAATCTGTTAAATAAAATAGATAAAAATACCGCGGCAGTTTTAAATAAAGATAAATATGAAGTACCACAGTCTCAATTAACAGAAGTTACATGGATTCCTCCTGAATCAGGGTAAAAGAAGCTAATTATTATACATTTAAAGTTAGTCCGAATGAAGTATTTAAATCAATTAAGTATTATTTAAAATATAGATTCCATTATTTAATACAGTTTAGGAATAAATCAAATAATAACCTATTTCTCTTTCATAACCTTTCTGTCAAACAGGTAATTAAAGCACAAAAATGTATGTCACATATTTCAGTTTTAACACGCAAGAAGGCCCAGCTCTGAAATCTGCTTTAGGATCACCAAAGCAATTTCCTTATATTCGTTCGCTACCAAATCTACCTGTGTTGGCAACAAATTCTGTTACATCTGAAGACGAAGAACTTCTTACCTTCTTAAATACACCTGACACAAGTCCAAAGAAAACTATAGGAGAAATTTCAGTGTCACCATCAACACCTTCTTCGCTTATGACTATAGATTCTGTATCAGAATTATCGATTCACAGTGGCCGTTCAAGTCCCAGCCTTATGCATACATCTGTAGATGTTCCAAATGATCCTAATCGTGATAATGTAAATATAGAAAATGAAGATCTTTACAAGAATGAGGTAGCGCATAATAATGAAATAGTAGGCAACCAAACTTTGGAGATTGTGTTGGACGATGGTAAATAAGAATTTTGGATTCATTTAATTTATGTAATTTTAAAATTTTAGTCAGAATTTTAACTCCATTTTAGAACATAGCATTGTTGAGAAACAATTTTATACAGCACACCAAGATCATCAATACAAAGAGAAACAAGAAATTATGGAAACGGATAAATTAATAAATTCATCTGATAATAAGAATATAAGAAAGTACTTGAAAGAAGTAGAAAAGAATTTGGAGGAGAGGAATGAATTACTTGGAAAACAAGAGACAGATCATCAAAAAGAAATCATTGTATTGAGTGAGAAATTACAATCTTTGCATACGGAAAGGGTGCAATTGTCTAAGCAAGTAGCAGAATTACAGTCTGCTTTAGAAAGAAGTAGATCAGAATTAAATTCCACTAGATCCGATTTAGAACAACACAAAGCTAGAGCTTTGAAAACATTACAAGAAAAAGAAAAATTAATAGCAGAATTAAGATGTAATGAATCTACAGGAGTGGATGATACAATGATCATGGAATTAAATCAATTGAGGTAAGTCCAGTAATATATCAAAAATAAATGTTTCATTGTTTGTTAATCAATTGACTGTATTACATAATAGACAAGAACGAGACACACTTAGAGTAGAAAACCAACAGATTTCTGAGCAGTTGAGAATAGTGCGTGGAGAATTAATGAATGCTGATGTGAAATTAGAAAAAATGAGACAAAAATCTACGGAAACAAATATACAAACTCAGGAAATCGTTACAACAGAAAGACGAAGGAGATTAGACGCGGAAGAGGATGCAAGATTACATGCAGATGTACATTGATAATCATTTATGTAATTCCTACTTGTATATAACGAAATCAATTATTAATATCGAGTTTGTTTTAGGAAATAAGATCGTTGAAAGATGAGCTAATTCGTCAGCGTAATAGTTACAGTATACAACTGCAAAAAAATGAATCTGAAATTGCTAAGCTGAAAATACAATTATCTGCGACATCGACACCGAGTAGCGAAGTAGAGTCGAGACTGGCAACTCTCACACAAACATTGGTTTCAAAGCAACAAGCTTTAGAAAATTTAACGACTGAAAGAAATGCTTTAAGACTACAGTTGGAGAAAATTGAAGTAAGTTGATATACTTTTGTTAAACGATAGTTCTTATTTTATCAATATGTATAATACATTTTAATATGGGAGTTCTTTCAATTTTCATTTTTACATATGTTGTTTAAAATTGTATGTTTTAATCTTTTTATTAATGTTTCATCGTTTTATTATTACTACTTGTTGACTGAAGAGGGGTAAAATTACAACGAAAGTTATAAGAATCGAATTTTAATAATGTATTTTTGTAATAAATGGCATAAATTTTAAACAAAAATTGATAAGTTATTTGAGGTTTTCGAGGCCTGGTTTTTTATGGTTGATACTAACAGAGACTTCCGGGTGTAAGCCGTCAATGAGTTTTATTTATAAAGGTAGGAGTCAAACAAGTTGACTATAATACCTAATGTACCAGTCTTGCATTTGCTTAGACACATTTCTTCATCATTCTGTACCATCCCCATTAGGGATGCCAGTAGTTTGTTAGGGCCCACTGCCCTCCTTATAGCTTGGGTACCTCAGGATTGTTAAACCCATACGTTGGACACGGCTTATACCCGGAACTGTCATTTAACATCAACAAAGAAAATTAATTTTTACACTTATTTCCACAGCATGAATTTAGAAACAGTCGTCGTAATCTTTCGTATAATATAAATGACACCGATGATGCGAAAGCTCAGGTACCGACATTTTTAATGGAAACTCCTTTTGATACTGGAGTTACTAGAAGAGTAAAAAGAGCTTACTCTTCATTAGATGCAATTAGTGTTCGTACAGGTGTATTTTTGAGGAGATATCCACTTGCAAGAATTTTAGTATTGATTTACATGGTAAGTTATTAGATGTAACAATGTTAACCATTTGTTAATCAAATACAAAATATGTCTTGTATTCCTTCGGGAGTACATTAATTTTCTTATGAACTTTTTACAGGCATTACTTCAATTTTGGGTTCTTGTTGTTCTTTTATTGAAGTCACCAGAAGCACATTAACATTGAATATTTGAATAAAAGAGGATATAATTTCATTAAATCGTACATTTTTAGGCTGAATAGTGGATTTTTGTAAATATATTATTGTGATGGTATGCATAGAATATTGTTATATAATCAGTAATTATGATTACAATTTTTGAATTCATGCTGCTATGAGGTGTATTATATAATATTACAAAGTTGTTAGATGCATGAACTACGTTTTCCGAATGCATTTGAATGATACACATTTACAAATAGCATTTGCGGGATGTGTTTCATTTTAACTAATGTAGTACATCCATTTGTATGAAATTATTATTAATATGGGACAAAAACTGTACATTTACTGTTAATAATGGATAAAATATTCTTATTTGTTCAAATCATCGTTTATTTTTTCACTATACAGAAAAGTAGATATTATAATACTATAAAGGTGCTAAATATAATGTATTTAGTCAAATTTATCCTAAAGAAAAAAATAAATAAATAAATAATTCATTGTAGTATTTTTTTGTATGACGTACTTTAAGACATAAACACACTTTATTTTTTTAATTTAACGGCGTAAATAATATATGTCATGATAAAATTTTGTAATAGTTGTAAATGATTCGTAAGGATATTGTAGCAACTAATAATATTAACAAACAATGAAGTACAGTTTAAGACACTTACAAGTTTATTATTCTTTTATGACAATCATACTTCTGTAATGTTTTTACTGAAACATTTTCAAAGAAACTTAGCTAAAAATTCAGTTGGATGGATTCTCCTATGGATTAATATTGGTAATATCATAGAATTGAACGTGATTATAGGAGTAAAAGAATTATTACCAAATGTTTGTAGAAGATGAGATTATTTTAATATATGTTCATGACGAGTGTTAAATACTTCTCCATTCATGGCCGTTGAAGGATACATCACACTTGTAACGCCTACCTATGTACCCTGATGCTCTATGAAGTTTATTCGCGTAATCTTGAAAACGCACGACGATACCGTAAAAGAGGAGATAATTTGTGATGTCAGTCATAATTGAAGAAGTAGCCATCAACAGTCAGAAAATTTGAAACTAACGCAGTAAGTCAATTTGAAATGTGTTTTATATGTATTTTTACAAAAAGCGGAAGCATCTATGCATACTGTATTATATACTAGTATATAATGTATTACTATCCTTACATCTTTCTTTATGATTGTTAATATTTGATTTGGTTCATTCTTATCATTAAGAGCTACATTATATTGAAAGAAAGAAACAATTTGATATGCTAAAGAACAGAGGCGTGCAAATAAAGATCTAGATCAGTTGCTTTAAATTTTGTTTACAAAATACAAAATACTAATTAAATTAATAACCAGGAAGTCAACTAAAGAGTTGGTTTAAAATATACTGCCACGCCTCCATTAAGATTTTGAAATTACTACAATGTTAATTACATTAATTCAAAATCTACAGAAACCTAATATTATTTCACAAAGTTACGACGGTCAATTTTATTAAATCTCTTGCAGAAACGTTATATGACGTTTCATTTGCCAGTGATAGGCAAAACCCTAGGCTTCGAATAAATTTGAAGTTTCCCGATGTGTTTGTCTCGTTTCCTTCTTTGGAAAATGTTCAAAAGAGAAAACGAGACAAACATATCGGCAAACTTCAGACTTATTCAAGCTTAGGGTTTTGCCCGTCTCTGTCATTTGCTACTCTAATTACGTGCAGTAATTTAAATAATGCTTAAGCGAGTAATTCATAACTATTATGTGTATTGCTCTAGTAACTGGGACACAGTGTATACATATGTACGTACATCAAAATGGGGTTAACTGTTTTCAGTTTAAATAGAAGTAAAGGCGACCACTGGAAGGCATCAATTTATTTTATAACAATGAAGTACCTTCACTATACTCGAAAATAAAGTATATTATTCTACAATAAAAAGTGTCGTTTCATTTTCTGAATTCTCTTTTCTTTTACTTATGACAATATTTTCAATAAGGCTCAAAAAATAGCATGACATTTTTTATTGTAGAACAGTATATCTCTTTTCTTACGCGACTATTAGGATGTTTGTTAACAATAACAATAAATTTAATGAGAAAACTAGAGATGACTCTTAAATAGAAAAATATTGATGAGTAATATTCACGAGAGTAAACTGTTTGAAAAACGCTGAAATAATGAATGTATGTCAATAGGAGTTATTATTACACATGTATATGTTATGTATAGTCCACTACAAGATTTATAGATTATAGTCTCGAAATACTATATGATTATCATACAATCACAAATCACTTTACAGATGCTGGATTAGCATTGCTTTTTAATTCGATAATTACGTGAATTATATTCAAATATATATCACCTGATTGATAAATAAAGAGGTTTATTGGTTGAAAAATATTTGTATCAAACCTCTTGAAGATACACTAATTACTCTTATTGTTAGACTTTATAAGTACTGCATTTATAATGGGAATAGTAAATGCATATAAATTGTAAAAAGGAAGGTATTTAACATGTTGATCGTTATATTTAATGTCTGTAAATTGCAACAAATTAATATCAAGTATTTTTTCCTAGTTTTATTTATGAGTTGATGGAGTTTAACATATTTTCTTTAAACTCTGATGGTTTGAAGTTGTATTTTTCTATTTCTATATTTCTATTATTAATTGCATAATATTATCTATAAATAAATTATAAATGAACATGTTCATTTTATACATAGTACAATCCACTTTTAAATACCTTTTCATAACGTTTCAATGCCAATTAGATACACGAGAAAATTGAGAATAACATTTTTATCCATATTAAAAAGCTTGCATTGCTGATTCTGTGCAATGTAATTATTAATTTCTTAAAGTACTTATATTCGATTAATCGAAAATGTTCAACCGTTTCAAAGTATCATTTGTTCAAAAAGATACGCAATTTTTCATTTATGCGAATCTTAGTTATAGCGAAATTGTTATTTCGTAAATAAGAGAGAGAGAGAGAGAGAGAGAGAGAGAGAGAGAGAGAGAGAGAGA